GTCCCCCCGCCACCGGTTCTCTCTCCAGATTCTTTTCTCGTTCATCCATTCCAAGCAGCCTGGTCTCTGATCCCAGATTTCTATCTTTCAGTCATATTTTTGTCCCTCCGGACTGCTAAATTATGCAACACCGTCCTCCGTCTTTAGTTCCAATCACTCACAATCTCTTCAAAGGCACGATTAGCAAACCGGATCTTCCTTGATGCACACAACACATACCACTTTGTATAATGGCCTCAACTATTAGGGGTTCTCCTGTTGCTGCCAATTACCTTATATGGAATATAAAAAATGACACGAAATCTATTCATCAAGTCAACATGTTACACAAACACACACAAGCGGAAAGTCTCAGCAGCACGGTACAATTATTGCCTTTTGGTCAGGAATCATAGATGATATAGACCAATCTAGCTGGTGATATGTTCACTTTATGTGAAGAACAAATTCCGTATAACAGCTTTAGCCTATGGAGTAAACATGTTCAAGTGTATCATCCTTCCCCCCCCCCATGCATATTTAACAAACGCAGTGGTTTAACGGCTGTCACTGACGTGCTTCGAACCCTATGGTCCGAGGTTCGAGCCCCGTCACGGCCACCCAACTTTGGTGGTAGGCAGCTTTGCCGTCGCCCGGTTCTATACCACACCTGAGCCAGCGGGGCCGTAAGTGGTTCGCCACTCCAAGCCCCGGAGCTTAGGTTACCGGTTACCCGCACTAAACAGCTGGTCTTTGTGACCATAGGGTCCGCAGTGACAGCTGTTCATCACACACTGGTGTGTAATAAGAAATCTTAAAAATATCAAATTGGTATAGAATTTATTGACAACTGAGAGAGATATTATCCCTTTTTCGTACCCTTCCCTCTCCCACAACTACACTGTTCGGTTCAGTTTAGATTTTCCAACCATTAACTATGCACTTTCGTGCGCCGGTTTTGGTTGCGGTCTTTTGGTGCCCCATTTGGATAAAACAACACAATGAAGATTGGAATGTTGAAAGCAAATTCAAGCGGAAGATGGAGAGTTCATATAGAATGGTGTTGGGGGAATAATAAACGGATGCACGATCGCCACTATTTGCGACATCCAGCCGTATCACTCAGTGTATCTAACCATCGGTGGCCATCATCCCGAGGTCCCCAGTCAGGGAGTCTAACGGGATCCATGTGACCTAGTCTCCTGGTTAGGGTTTTCATACCCTCATGCCAGGTCTTCATTTGACCACCCTTGGCTCTTTTCCAACCGCTACCTGCCTCGGCAAACATCGCTCGCCGTAGCTTACGGTTAGATTTTTGTTAAAGCTTCGGCTAATAACCCTAATTACCGTCCCGATTAGTGATTGGACTGACTAACGGTATGCACGATTAAAAGCGATTCCGTCCGACTGTCGGGCGAATTCTGGGAGAGATTGCTATCGCACGGACATGAGACCAGCAGGCGAAAGTTGAGTCCTGTGTGTTGATCGAATACAAACTGGCATGCATTGTTTATTATTATATTTCACATACATCTGAATCCAGACTGTGCCAAACAGCTCATAGTGCAATAATCTTTATAAAAAAAAAGAAAAAACGTCCCATGATTGGCTTATGGGCTGAATACTGCCAGGTTGCCCAGGCCAAGACTCGGGAGCACGAAAATAAAGAACAGAACACAACGGTTTTTGATGAAAGAAAGAACGTTTACCCCAGGAATACTTCGAAACACAACACCTCAGCCTCGTGATGCTTGTCCTCTTTCAATATCGTCGACTAACTTAATCGACGGGTAACAATGGGTGCTCCATTTTGTGTGGCTGAAACAGACTGTTTGACTAACCATACCAGTTTATGCATATTACAGCTGTCAATATCCAGCATAACACTGACGAAATCCGGGCTTGCTCCGCAAGGAACGACCCGATTCCGGTTTCAGTATCTTGATTGATGTAGACCGTGGTTCTAATGTTGCTCAGAGCTCGCTCGAAATCCTGTGTGATACCCTAAAACGTGAAAATGACACCCTGAAAGCACAAGAAAACCGTATGCTAGATATGATGCCTGTGAAAATGGAGTGATTCCACCGAGATAGAACAATCTACACGAATCTTTCTGCTCAAAATTAATTCATGACTCGAATTTTTCCCGTTATTTAGATTTATAAGGCTTATTAGGTCTTTCCTAATCTCCACGATCGCTTGTTTACTTGCTTTCCTGCCACGATACACATAAATTTAACGTTCTATTCCTTACCAAACTTGTGTTCACCAAGTACACTACTTGCTCAGCAAAGCTCAGATTGGCCCTAAAGTTAAACACTTCAAATATTTACGGAAGTGAGGTTAATTTGTTTCTTTATCTCTACTTGATCGCAGGTTCAACGTGAGATCGTTTGCCTCATTAACGATCCGAACGTATAGGTGGCGGTCGTTAGCTCACTGCCAGTCAGCCACTTTTGTATCCCTATTCTACCGATGCTGTTCAACAGAACTTGTGCTTCCCCATGAATTTCATGTACAAATGGTTAATCTCCGACACCAAGTGGCTATCCGCTGGAGCTGGAGCTCTATCTTTCAAGTGTTTCGACTTCAAAGAACCGCGCAACATCCCAGTCCTCTTTGTCTTCTCCCCTTCAACTTATAACAACTTACACAACCATTAAACACAGATAATACAATCTGGTTCTAGCTTGGACTAACTCCTCGTACTTCCCAATACAGTTGATACCGTCATCATGACAGCTAAATCCATTGATTGCATGCACTTATGTGTAGGCAGCTCTGCTGTCGTCAGGTCCAATATCACACCTAACCTATCGGGGCTTTATGTGGTTCGCCATTCCAAGTCCCGGGTCTTAGGTTGCCGGTTTCCACCATTGAGCAGTAGGTCCTCGTGACTATGGGGTCCGCTCCATTTTCTGCTCATCACACTTAGGTGCAATAAAAAAGAAAGACATCATCAACAGGGAGCACACAGACACTCACGTCATTGCGAAGTGCTTCACGTGGATCTGACAATAAGTCGACCAATTTGGAGATTGCTCTTGGACACTGAAGAATCACATTTTGAGTGTCTTTCGGTTGATTCATCAACAAGACTGTAAGCAAACGTAAGGCATTTCGACGAATGTGAAGTTCGTATGCCTAAACAGAATTGGGATAACGAAAAATATCAATTGCGGTAACGTAAAGTGTTCATAGTGTGAAAATTGGCACACGTGGACGAGCGTTGTACGTGAAGGACAAAAAATTATTGGTGATCAGATTAAGAGGAAAAAGCAACTGCATTTAAACAATGAAGGACGTGATAAACATAACAGGAGTTCCACTAAGAAAGGTTACTGAA